AAACTAAACCCTAGTGGTATTAATACTAGGTTTTATCGAAGGAAAAATTGTTTTGAGAGTATCGAAGCGTTGTCTGAGTGCTGAGTCACCACCTTTCAAGTGAGTGCATAGTCCCTTTCATCTTACACATAGATATGAAGTATTTTAATATAAATTGCGTGCTATGTGTGCATTTTGTCTGAATACTTGCTGTCTATGTTGGGTGAAAGATTTTTATACATGTTTTAAATGATTTAAATTATATATGTATTTTATATCTACAAAATGTGTTGGGTAAAACATGGTTAGATGAAATAGTTGTTGTGTGATAACACGATGAAAGACATCAATGTTGACAGTGATCCAACCATCTAGTGGAGTATAGATGATGACCCTGGACGATACTAGATAGTCCAGTGGAATGCTAGCAAGCTCGTAACCTGTAGGTGTTTTTGAACTAGGTGCTCATTAGGTATTTTTGAACTGAGTGTGTTCACTAGGTATTTTGAACTGAGTGTGTTCACTAGGTATCTTTGAACTGAGTGTGTTCACTAGGTATTTTGAACTAAGTGTGTTCACTAGTTACTTTTGAACTAAGTGTTTACCATATGTACTCACCAGGTTTCCCAACTTGACCCACTCAGTTTATTTAAATCACAGGTGTCGATATGAAGTCACATTACACTGAGAGATTAAAGAGATGCAAATCATTAGTGTAAATAAATGTAAGTTCTGTTTATGTTTATGTTTCTGTATTGATAATGACATCCCAAACGTTTTAAAATGAATAAAATACGTTTCTTCGAAAATGTTTTGATAACGTATTTATCATGTTTTTCTGGGGACAAATTATGCAACATTTTTATGAAAAGAAGTACTCTGATTTTTATAAAGCATAAACAAAAATCGGTCTTTTATGGCCGTGAAAATGGGGATGTCACACTAAATGCTTGGAGATGACGAGGGTAAAAAGCAGTGATAAAAGACAGAACATCCGACGGACAAATTTTGGTGCTGAAGTATCCCGAAAAATCTAAAGTTATCTTGATCTTAGAATTTGGTCATGGAATCTCTAGCATTAAAGAACATACAGAGGAACCAAATCTGAATAAAAATATGAATTCCTAATCTTTGAAACTGACCAGTCCCCAAAAACCAATCACGTTTACAGTCTCCCCCTCAACTATTGAACCAAAGAGTTCAATATCAAATTGCACAACGACTTCAACATTTCGAACTCGAGTCATAATGCAAAAAAATATCGAAAGAATAACATACTAAAAATGCGAAGCATCCCAAAGTGAAGTCTGAACAATAAATAATATGAATCTGAAGAAAGGTCTAGCAATGCCAAAATTGTAACACCGTAAATTTCAAGACAAAATTTTCATTTAAAATAATCATTTTACTCTTAGAAACACTTGTTTAAAATCTTATTCATAGTCGATTTACAAAACATAACTCCATTTTCACTTGCATAGAAAACCAAGATCCTCAAAAATATGACTCTTTCTCTGGTGTGTACAATCAAGCCGGTGTCGTCCCGTGATACTGAAAGAAACCTGTAAAACATCAAACAAAACACTGTAAGCACGAAGCTTAGTGAGTTCCCCAAAATACCACACATAACACATATTAGCCACTCGAGGCTATAACTCTGTGGGTCCGTGCACCCAAACTCTGTGAACCCTCAGGTTCTAACTCTGGGAACCTTCCGGTTCCAACTCTATAAACATGCACAACATAAATCACATAGAAATAATGCAGTACAACACATCACGTACATATAGCATACAAATACTCTAATCACATAACTCTGGTTACCTACTCAAGGTAAAGTATAGTGAGAAGACTCACCTGGCAAGCAGAAAGCAGATATCCCCACACTTGAATCTCGAACTCGCCACCGCCTAACACGTAAGGCAAATACTCTCATGAATATAACTCTCGAGGCTAGAATAAATCCTCTCATAACACCCTCTTATGGGTAAAAGACTATTTTACCTCTCTCTTGGCCCAAAGGCCACATCGCTGTCCAAACCCTAAAACTCAACGGCCAACCCTTGGTCGAAATCAAAGTCCTCAGTCTAGGTCAACCCTTGACTGACTCTACTCGCCGAGTCAACCCTGTGACTCGTCGAGTTCCCATAATCAGAACTTCCCCATATCGCGACTCAACTCGTCGAGTCACCACGAGACTCGCCGAGTCCCACAACTCTGAGTCCACTCACACCCAACTCACCGAGTCATCCCTTGACTCACCGATTCTCGACTCAACCAGGAAATATTTGGGACTCTTCGTCAAGACTCGTCGAGTCCAAGAACAGACTCGCCGAGTCTACGGCTATCTTCAACCTACTCGCCGAGTTGTTCATACAACTCGCCGAGTTCCAGGCCATCTTCATCCAACTCGTCGAGTCCACCCATGTGACTCGCCGAGTACCGCCGGTCTGAATACATTCCGAAGCATTCCAGGCCATGCAACTGCTCCAAGACATAGATCTAGCCTCCTACCACTCATCCATCACGTAAAGTGGCAAACTTTACGTGAATCCAAAGAGATCTAAGCCGTTTGCACATTGGGGCTAGGGTTTGGGACATGCAAGCTTCACTAAACACTCCAACACAGGGACTTTCATGCTCTCTGATTCTTCTCCCTTCCAGATCTGAGGTAGCAACCTCAGATCTAACCTCTAGACTTCCCATTTCATCCATAGACAATTTCTCACAAACCCCAAAATGAAGAAACAACATAATCAACAGGTCAAAAACGAGATACTACCTCTAAGTGATGCCCCAACTGCAATGCAATTCGAATCCAAGCAAAGCCCCTTGCTCCAAGCCTTCAATCTTCCCAAAATTCCTTCAACCATTACTTCTCCAAGCTCCAATCCACTCAAAAATGGTGCTTCTCCGCGATTTAGGGTTTTCTGGGGCTCAAGGGGTGATAAAGAGGCTGGGAGGAAGACATAATGATCATTATATAAGGCTCAACCCCGAGAATTAGGGTTTTCTCCACTCAGCGCCTACTCGCCGAGTCCAATACACTGACTCGCCGAGTCGGCCACTTAACACGGGACCAAGTCGCGACTCTACTCGCCGAGTCCACACATGGACTCGCCGAGTCGCTCTTTCCCAATTTACTCTTTTAGCCCTTCAACTCTACTCTTGATATTTCGGGATGTTACAAAAATTTTGATCGGAATATCAAAAATCAATGCCACATGGCATCGCCAAAAGAATATTCGTTTCCAAAGTATCGCAAATCCAAACTCAAGCAATCATAATATCTTATCCGGATGCTAACACAAATGAGACATCCCAAAAGATAGATTCGGAATATAAATAGTCAATAATCCGAAGAACATTTAGTAATGCCAAAATTTTGATCTATAAAGATCAAAAATCAATGTGACATCACATTACTAAATCAATCTCTGTCTTCAAATGTCTCTAAAATCCAAACTCCAATAATAACATCATAATGGATGCTAGGGGTGAAATTAAAACTGGAAAACCAGAACCGGAACCGGAACCGTTAGAACCGGAATATATAGAACTGGTTCCTATTCTGGGTCTAAAATTGGTTTTATCCGGGTTCCAGGTAATCCGGGTTTGGGTCCATCGAGTCCGGATAAACCGGGTATAAGAACCGGAATCGGTGTTAGGAACCGGAACCACTTTTAGGGATCAAAGCCGGTTAATGTGAAACATTTAAAACTTGTATATCTCATTTTTTTAAAGTTGGATTTACATACGGTTTTTTTCCAATGTGTAGTCTAGAGTTTGTACATGATTTTAGACTATAAATTTATTATTTTTGATTTAATATTCATTGATTTACAGCCCCAAAGTCAAGATATTAAAGCTAGAAGTTTGTACTTTTTCAGTTTTTTGTATTATGTGAAAGTTTTAAAACGTGTATATCTTATTCGATTGAAGTCGGATTGACATGTGATTTTTTCCAACTTTTAGCTTAGAGTTTTTACATGATTTTAGACTATAATTTTTCATTTTTGGTTTAATATTCAATGAATTACAATCCCCCGAAGTCAAGATATCAAAGCTGAAAATTTTCGACGTTTCATCTATTTGTTTTTATACTTTGTATTATGTGGAAACATTAACACACACATATATCATTCGTTTAAAGTCAGATTGACATGCGGTTTCTTCGGAGTGTAGTTTAGAGTTTTTCCAAAAGTTTAGACTATAATTTTGTCAATTATAGTTTCATATTCAATAACTTACAGTCCCCCGAAGTCAGGATATCAATATGAAAATTTTCAAAGTTTAACTCACTAAGTAGTAAGTAATTGCCAAAAAATTCCAGTTTTTTCGGGTTTTTCGATTCTAAACCCACTTTATCCGGTACCCACTTTGATGTTCCCGGATTTTTCGGTTCTAGACCCACTTTACCCGGTATCGTACCCGGAACCGAACCGGAATCGGTTCCTATATACCGGTTCTGTTTCTAGTTCTACAAAATTCCGTTAACCGGTTTCGAGTTTTTCGGGTCCGGATCCGGGTCCATTCTGTCCGGATTTGGACCCACTTTCATCCCAAGGTAAGAGTTTCATGACTACTAATTGTAGAGTTTCATGACTACTAATTGTAGATGAGTTTTAGCTGATCTTTACGTTTGGATTAGTCATCATGGCAAATAGTTTAGCCTAAACCAGAATACTTAGTGTTGTCTTTGTCTATTTCTTTTTCCATGATGTATTTTATTTTCAAACACTTTACTAGTTTTAATAATAATTTCTAATCGTTCCAAAAACAATTATTTCCATAAACCCTTAAAACATTGAAACTAAAATAATGGAAAAGTAATTTTGGAAAATAAATAAAATACTAAAATAAAGAGGGCTAAAATAATAAATTTCACCAACCCTTTTTCCCTCCTCAAATTTACCTCAGATCCACTCCTCATTAAAAGAAGCAAAACGCCTTTCAAAAGCATCTCTCTTTCTTCCATGAACGTTTTCCTGCAACAACTCTAGTACCCTCCTCCTCCTTTCATGGCGGTTCTTACGCCTACACCTTCTGAAACCCACAAGGTACAACCCACAAAGCGTAGAAGACAACATCACCCACAAAACCCTAAACTCAAACACCAACACTCATCATCATCATCACCACCATCATCATCATCATCATCATGGGACCAAATCAAGAACCTGTTGAAGTGCAAACAGATGGATGTTTCCGGGTCGGATCAGAAGATCCAACAAGACGCATCAAGGAGCACCAATGGATACTCGAAGTTGAGTTCCTGTGGCTCCATATGCAGTTTCAAGGATGTTGCTAATGGGAATACGAGGGTTGTTCATAGGGCGGATAACTCGCCGGAAAGTAGCAGCGTTGGTCAGGAATCCGGCTTACTCCGAAGGAAGAAACACCTTAGTAATGGTGCTTCTTCTTCTTCGTCTACTAGGTCTGTAACTGGTTCAGTTAGATCCAATGGTCAAGGTGGTTACACGTCATCTTCCAGAGGCATGCAATTGAGGAAACTTTCTGGGTGCTATGAATGCCATGCCATTGTTGATCCTGCAAGGTCACTCTCACTTCTTTCTTCTTTCAACTTTCATTTTTGTTTCTTTCGCGACATTAATTTGTTATTTTCAAAATTTCGTTATATAATATATATTTCTCCCAAAAATACCAACACTAAAAGACAAATCAGAATAGGTTAATGTTTTGTAAAATATTTTCTATAGATCCGTAGCTCATTCGTTCTAGAAATACAGAAACTAAACAAGTTTGTGTGCTTATTATTATTATTTTTTTAAAATGTTAACTTAATGAACTTAATTTGATAATTAAAATGATGGATGGTGTTTAACATTGAAGTTGCAAATTGGCCCTATTTACTTAAAATGTCATACTTTTAATACAGTATAAATAACTTTGACATTTGTTTTGACCATGCAGACAAGCAATTCCAAGAAGTACAATTTGTGTATGTTCAGAATGTGGAGAAGTCTTCCCAAAAATGGAAAGCTTGGAGCATCATCAAGCTATTAAGCATGCCGGTATAAATTTTATCATCATATAAAATTTTAGTTAACAAAATTAAAAAAAAAAGAAAAAAAATAGTGTCGTTCTGAATAATGAGTTTTCTGTAATATTAGTACTAATTATGTGTCAACACTTCATTAAAACCGAGTGTACATGTGAGGTTTAGTGACACATACGTATCTACAATATCATATGTATATTTTTTAGTTTTTACTCTAAGGATAACAACGTTTATATTTTTTATTGTGTTTATCTGAAGATGATGAATGACTGACCAAAAAGCTAAAATCAAGTGACTTTTATGTCTTTACCATAGACAAGTGTGTGCCTTTGTTCCCATGGGGTAATCATGTAACCACATTCCTTTTGGGACCATTTATATTAATATTAGATTTGCCTTCATACCAAAGAAAATACAATATATGTCGATTGAAATGTCAATATCATGTAAAAAAAGTTGAGATTTTTGCATGTGCAATGTATTTATAAGGTTGATTTGTTTGTTCATGAGTAATTCTCAAACCATTTATTGTTTTATGTAATATAAAGTCTTGGATGTTGAAAATTTTCCAAAAAAAAAATAATAATTAGGTCTTAGGTCCATATTCTACAACAATCCTAGGGTGTTAAACGTATTTATGAATTGTATAAGGACAATTAATGTAAATTATTTTTGTTTGGTTTGATTTTTATAGTATCGGAGCTCGGACTCGAAGATTCGGGTCGAAATATTGTGGAGATAATATTCAAGTCCAGCTGGCAAAATAAGGACCATCCGATCTTCACAATCGAACGGATCTTAAAAGTCAACAATACTCGTCGGACTATCCAACGTTTCGAGGACTGCCGTGACACTATCAAGATCCGAGCAACCGCCACCGCCACCGCCTCCCGCTGTGCTGCCGACGGAAACGAGCTCCTCCGCTTCCACTGCACCACACTCGCCTGCTCTCTAGGCTCCCACGGCTCCTCCAGCCTCTGCGGCTCCGTCCCCGGCTGCGGCGTCTGCACGATCATCCGCCACGGTTTCCAAAACCCAAAGTCCGGCGAAGCTGGAAAGAAAGGGGTGTGCACCACCGCGAGTAGTGGTAAGGCGCATGACTCTCTTGGGGTTGGGGCGCGTGGGCTGAGGGCGATGCTGGTTTGTCGAGTGATTGCCGGGAAAGTGAAGCGCGTGGTGGGGAACGCGCCGCCGGAGGAAGATGGAGCGTATGATTCGATGGCCGGGTATCCCGGGTCATACTCGAATATTGAGGAGCTGTACGTTTGTAATCCGAGGGCCATACTACCCTGTTTCGTGGTTATTTACAAGGCAATGGAAAGTTGATGTCATCTTTTTTTTTTTTTTTTTAATTAATGTGGGCTTAAGATTTTTTTAATTTCTAATTTTGGATTAATGGGAAGCTAAAATTATGGTGACATTATTATAATCTTCCACTTTGTATATAAAATTAATTCAGTTCGTACTTCGTACATTTTTTTTATTTGTATCCCTAGCAATCAAATTGATCATTGTTCATGGGGACTAGCGATTTTGTATAAATCATGTATAAAAATTGAGTAAAATGTGTCAGAATTTCGGGCTAAAAGGAAAAGAAAAGGCCCTTTTATTTGTCATTTTTGATTTATAGTGTAAGTGGTAGTTGCTTTTTGCAAATACAGAAATCCTGTAACTTATTTAGATTGGTCGGATATTTTGATGTTAAAAGGGTATATTATATGTGACATTCCATTCTTTTTATTATGATGCAAACTATCTTATATTAACTTATTAGATATGGTCGACAGTTAAAAGAAAGGTATCATTAGGTTATGTTTAGTAACAACCTTTTTGAGATTGATTTTATGTTTTTAATAAATAGCTCAAACAGAAAAGGAATATATATATATATATATATATATATATATATATATATATATATATATATATATATATATATATATATATATATATATATATATATACACACACATTTGGAGGAAAAAATACACGAATCTAAGTGTTTTGGTGTTTGTATGTGTTTTTTGGTGCTTTTGTGTTTATGACCGGAAACTCGCCAAAGTAATTGATCGGAGTTTTGTTAGAAATCGGCTAAACTCACAACAACCGGTCTTAAGAATTGACTGTGTACAAGATAACAAGTTTAATGGATAAATTTGGAAAAAAAAAAAAAGTGATTAAATATATACAAAAGATAAACTATCTTATCATTTTTAAGTATTTTTTTTCCGTTCTATCATGAGTATCATCGTATGAAATGTTATAAAATATTAATTATATGTAGTGAAACCCATTTTAATTTATAGAATCTTTAAGAATGTAATTTTTTAAAAATATTTCAAGATTATAATTAAATTATAGTTTTATTTTTTAAATTTATTAAAAGCATTTCATTGTAAACTATAAAAGACTCCACCCATTTTTCGTCGACTTCGTCACTGTCTCACTGATTATATTTTTTCATTAAAAGTTAATTTATAAAAATATAAAAAGTTACAAAAGTTATCAAATGCCTTTAAAAAAAGAATATAAAGAAACCATATCGTTACTCATTCAAGACAAAAACATTGCATGGGTTTTGGGTTTTATGATTACCAAGATCATTTTGAATGTAATGAAAGTTCGAGCTAATAAATGAAGCACATTAGTTCATACTTTAATATCATTGAATTTCTAAGTGCCAACACATGTTAAAGCACCTCCATCTTGATATAAGCATCAACAAAGATTCTCTTAATTTAAGAAAAAAAAAAATCAAAGAACTTTCAGTCCATACAAAAAAAATGTTTTAATTGTACATGTTAAACATATATACATAAATATTGTAAGATTGTATTTTGTATTCAGAGTATCCACCAAATTAGTGGACAATGCATTATTTTGTATATGATAAAGCTAGGTTTTATCTTTTTAGATAGACAAAATTTCACAATTGGTCTGTGTGGTTTACTATTTTGAGCGCTTCCTAGCAAAAAGTCGCAACTAGTCCCTAAGGTTTGTAAAATTATGTGAATGGTCCTTCTATCGTTAAATCTAACTTTTCAGCTGTTAGATTTTAATAGAAAAGACTATTTTACCCTTGTAACAATATTGTAATACACTACAAACCTCAAGGACCATTCGTGTAATTTTATAAATTTAAAATTTTATGTATATATGTAAATTATAAATTTCGCATTATATATATATATATATATATATATATATATATATATATATATATATATATATATATATACATAATTTCAACAATTTGATAATTTTTTTTTTATCTTTTTGACATTTTGTTTTCTATTTTTATTTTATAGTTTTAGTTATTTATGGTTTTCTATTATATTTTTATACATTTTAAATAAAGTAAATAAACTTAAATTCGATAAACCATATCGAAATTATTTTTCCTTTAATTTTTCTTATTTGCAAATTGAAGCGTTAATGTTTTTTTATTTTTATTTTATACCGTTACTTTTCATGTTTTTTCATGCTCTGTAGTTAATATCTTTAACAACTTTATATTTGCATTTATCATTATCATTATTTAACATTTTGTTTTCTATTTTTGTTATAATTTTAATTATTTATTATTCTTCTATTGTTTTTATTTACGTTGATTCAAGTAACGAAAATAGAAAAACAAAAAACAAAAACTCAAACACCAAATTCTAATATAATCTAATATATTAATACATTTTATATTTTCATATTTTTTTAGTTTTTTCGTATTTATTTTAATTTTTTAGTATTATTTTTTTTAACTTTTTTCATATTATTTTTTAATCATTTCCTATTTTTATTTTTTAATTATTTCATTTTTTATTTTTTTTTCGGTTTTTCATTTTATTTTTCATCAACTTCATAACTTTTTTTTTGACATTTTCCAAAAAGCGTATAATGCATGAATATATTAGAGTATTTTACAATTTTGGTGTTTGAGTTTTTTTTGGTTTTTTATAATTTTGGTTATTTATGGTTTTTGTAATTTTTTTCATTTTGATTCACGTAAATAAAATAGCTATATTTACAAATATAAATAAAGAAAATAAATATAACTTTTTTATTTACACAAATCAAAATAAAAAAAATTACGAAAATCATAAATAACCAAAATTAATAAAAAATGTGAAAAACAACAAAAAATATGAAAAGTGTAAAATGTATTAATATATTAGAGTATTTTACAACTTTAGGGTTTGATTTTTTTTCTATTTTTCATTACTTGAATCTAAATAAATTAAAACAATAGAAGAATAATAAATAACTAAGTATATATAAAAAACAACAAAAGGTGAAATAATGATAATGATAAATGCAAACATAAAGTTGCTAACGATATTAACTATATAACATCAAAGTAAAAAAATAAATAAATAAACCGTAACAACAAAAATTTTTAAAAAAAATAAATAAAAAATAAAAAAATAACATTAACGTTTCATTTCATAAGTAAGAAAAAAAAGATTTTGATATGGTTTATCTAACTTAAGTTTATTTATTTGAATCAATATAAATAAAAACATTAAAAAATCATAAATAACTAAAATTATAAAATAAAAATAGAAAATAAAATGTCAAAAAGATAAAAAAAATTATCAAGTTGTTGAATATATATATATATATATATATATATATATATATATATATATATTATTTATAATTTATATATACATAAAATTTCAAATTTATAAAACTACATGAATGGTCCTTGAGGTTTGTAGTGTATTGCAATATTGGTACGAGGGTAAAATAGTCTTTTCTATTAATATCTAACAACTGAAAAGTTAGATTTAACGGCATGAGTATTTTTTATGTAATTTTACAAACCACAAGGACAGGTCGCGTGACTTTTTGCTAGGAAGTCATCAAAGTGCGATATTTTGTAAACCACAGGGACCAATTGTGAAATTTTGGTTTTAGATATGTTTTTTTTTTTCAGTTTTATTATATATGTTGATATGTGTAATTATATATGTATACACACACCCCTAATCTCTGTGATGTGTCTAATGTGTGGGGCTTTGAGCTGAAAATTCCAGTGACTATTTAAAATAATTTGGAGAGTTATAGGGAATGGGATTACATAAATGTGTTGTTTCTTTTCGAAGTTTAGTTTTTTTATTTATTTATAAACTCGTGGTTATTCTGTCCGATTGATGGAAGACAGGAAAATCTGGAAAGTAAAATTGCTGAAAATCGATGACTCAAAGAAACTTTATCTTAAACAAAAGTCGTGTATTAAGTGGGACGTAGAATATTTTTATGAAAAAAAAAAAAAAAAAAAAAAAAAAAGGTCTATAGACAATATGTGGCAACTTGATCCAACGGTGATAAAGAAAATTGGAAATTCTTCTCTAAAAAATCCGATAATCTCATGTCATTCGAGACCGAAGTTTATAAATAACGGATTAAAATTTCCCATTTGGATATGAAGCACTTGAATTGGAGTTCTGCCTTGAAGAAATTAAAGATATGGTGTTGTGCGGGTGAAAAGATGTCTGGGCCGGATGAATTTACACTTTCTTACTAGTTATATTTTTTAATATAATCATTTCCGCTGTTGAAAAACATATTTTACATAAGGTTTCTAGTTTTTGTTTGATAATATAAACAGAAATGTATTTAAGATGAAATAATAAATGTAACACAAAACTTGAGTTTTACTAGGTTTGGAAATTCAGCCATATTATAGTCAAATAATTAGCTAATCTTATGATTTTATAATTGCTGTTAAACAATGGTAATTGTAATGTGATTTTCATAAAACATAAGATAGATAGAACTTGGGAGAAATGAATTGTTAAAATTTGTTATTGGGTCAAATAATGGAAAAAGCAGTCCGGTTTATGATTTAAGTTGGCCCATCTTCTGTTTAAATCGTAAAGCCCCAACGAATTCAGAAAAGGCATAAACAGCCTTTTTCCCTTTCATTTGCAAATTGGAAGTGTCGGGCTAGTTTTAATACTTCAAAAAGGGAGAAGTAAACAAGCATTGAATATTTTTATTTTTAAGAAATTAGAGAAGTATTGTGGGTTCAAGCTTAATTAGGACGATGTTTTTAAAAATAATAATAATAATAACAATAATAATAAGTCAAGTTTTAATTTATTTATTGCGTTTTATAAATCAAAGTTTAATCAAGCTTTTAGTGATGCATTATGGCTTAATATAAGGAAAGATGTTGGGTTTAGCTCATGTTTGTGTTAATTTCATGAATATTTGGCAATTGTCATGATACAAATAGTTGAGATTTTAAACACGGGAAGTGATTCGTATATAATAATTTTTTACCGTACACAACAATTTATGCTAACGTGATGATATTCCATTTGTTTTGTATAAAAAAAGACAATCGAATAGAATTATATT